TTGCAGGGCCTCAGAACGGACTAGACAGCAACAGGTGTAGTGTGGGCTTCCTCTGAAACAAGGAAACTGGGCATTTGTACCCCCTACTGGGCACAGCACCCCACTCAGCCCTGGGATCAAGGGACCCGGTTTTCCAGCAACCTCTAAGCAAGACACAACACACCCCTGAGTGCCAGCCTCTGGCTATGGGGCAGGAGTGAACCACCGGGGAGCCCACTCACAAGAGCTGGCAGCTGGGTGCAGTGGCCTGCAGAGGGTCTGAGCAGGACATCACCAGAGTCCACCAGAGACACTCAGAGAGAGGTGGAGAGCCAGGAAGAGATGGAAGCCAATAATAATAATAATTATAATAATAGTAACGTTGCCGTCGAGTCTGACTCTGCTGCCCCCGCGTGGGTCCGAGTAGAACGATGCTCCACAGGGCGTCCTTGGCTCCCAGTTTTTTATGGAAGTAGGTTGCCAGGCCTTTCATCTGCAGCACTGCCCAGTGAGCTCAAACTGCCAACCTTTATGTGAACGGCTGATTGCAAACTGCCGGCAACCACAGGAAAAAGGAAGAGAGAGCAGTAAAGGGAGGACATGATAGAATCAGAATCAGAGGGACAGAGAGATACAGAGAGAGGCAGACTGTCGGGGAAAGAAGGACAGAGACACAGGTGGCCATGCAGACCCCCTTACTGCCCCCTGGTGTCCAGGACACTCTGCTGACTGTCTACTCCCCTCCACTTCTCCGTACACTTACATCATTTGCTGCTCTGACTCAGCCCAACCTGAGCTCTGCCCCCCTCCCCTCGTCTACCCTTCTCCCGACCCCCACCTGCACTGACGGTTTCCTAGCGGCTCTCGGACAGGCCCTCGCTCACTCGCCTTCAGGCTTGCGAGGGCTGGTGCTCCAGACACAACAGCCCATCTCGTCTTGGCACAAAAGAAAAACAGAACTTCATGGCTCTTTCCAGCGGCTCCCAGAGGTAGATGCCTCACCTCCCTTCTGAGCTGAGCTTTGGCTTTCCCTCTGGTCCGGCCCTGACCACACGGGGCTTGGGTGTCCCCAAGATTGGGCGTTCCTCCAGGGCAGTTGGGAGCTGAGTCCCCCCCAGGGAGAAGTGCTTTTCCAGAACACCACAGCAGGGTTGGCAAATAGAGGAGAGAAAGACAAGGATGGCTGGGGGCACCCCAGAGAGAAGGGTCCTGGGTCCTGCAGGAGCCGCACTGAAGCTCAGCACCTTCATCCGTGGCCACAGCACCCACCACCACATTTTCCAGGTGGTACCTGCAGCGTGGATGACTGACTGGTTGCTGTCCGGGTGGCAGAGGACAATGGAGGGGAAGAAGGGGCTAAGCCACATCTTAAAGCCCCTGGGGTAGGTGGCCACCAGCTGGGTCATGATCGCCAGACCCTGCTCCGTGGGTGTGATCTGAAAACAAGGCAGTCCATCATGGCCCAGAGGGTGCACAGGCATCGGGACCCAGTGGGGCCTGAGGTCCCGTCCCACCCCCCACCTCACCCCCACCCCCCGCGCCGCGCCCCTGTGACGAGAAGGCAAGGCTGGAGACAGAAGGCCAGGGGG